AGGACAAGAAGCAATGGGTGAAAACTAATCAAGGAGAGAAGCAAACAAGAACTAAGGAGAACTTTCATGACAGTTAGAACTATTAATCAGTGGAACAACTTGCCTCCAGAAGTTGTGAATGCTCAAACACTGGAAATTTTTAAGAAGATACTGGATAACCATTTGTTTGAAGTAGTATAGGGTTTCCTGCCTAAGCAGGGGGTTGGACTAGAAGACCTCCAATGTCCCATCCAACTCTGTTATTTTGTATTCAGCCGTCTCTTTCAGATAATGCTTAGGTCCTCCTTTAAACAGGTGTTTTAAGGACTGCCAATATCATGCATATTAAGGCTCACATATTTTTATTCCTCAGGAAACTCCACATACATATTTATATTTATCAGTAACATTTTCCTATCAATGCAAGTCAGCTTTCCTTTTGCCCAACACTTGTTTTTTCTGAGTGAAATCTTGTTCAGGGGAAATTCTCTTCGCAGGAAAACGCACCAAAGTGCCACTTTTAGCCAGTCCTGCTCCCTGGCATGTAGACAGCCTTTGACAGGGATATGGGAAAGAGGGATTCTATTATATATACTATAGAAAACCTAAGAACAAATCCCAGGGCTACAGAGAAGATCCCAAGCTGTGCCTGGCTCAGGGAAGACAAAGGAAAGGGGTATTACTAATGCTAGGGTGACCCACTTTACTGAAATCACTCAGAGAAGAGAGTCCAGCATCTGCCAAACCTTCTTTGTCCTTGGAACATTTTAATCTTTCATCTGCTCCCTATCCAACTATTTCACAAAGGGCCATAATAACTAAATGGGAAGCTGGCATTTTGCAAAGCAACTGTTGTCTCTAACGCAATTGTGATTTAGAAAAAGACAGCCGCTTCCGTTGACAAATTGGCTATACAACTAAGAACTACATGCAACATTCATTCTTTTACTAGCCCTTCCCCTTCCCCAACAAGCCCATGCTAATGCTTCTAATTAAAATAAATATGATTACATAATCTTTCTTGGCATATACAACAGGACCATGAAGCACGGTTTTCTCTCTATTACTGAGTCAACCCAAAGAAAATTCAACTGGTGGTTAGTACATTTTAACAACGAATTATTAAGAGCTCTGCATAATCTAAAAACCTGCATGCTCCTGTACTTAACACCACTGAATGCTGTCCAGTGTCATTTTTTGAAAGATGAGCAGCCATATACTGTAGCCTTGATAAATAAATAATACCACAAGCTTCTTACTTTATGGAATGTTTGTTGTATGGATAGAAATATCAGTTTCTACCAAAAATGAAATCAAATTAAATCACTACTAGAATACAGAAGTGTTTAGTGGGATAAAGACAAAAGTACAAGTTGTTAGAAATCTCAAAGATGTCCCAGGGTTGTCAAGTAATGACAAATCATTATATTATAGTGTTATCTATTCTGATTCTTCTGCTTCCATCATTAAGCTAAGACCACCAAGGATGACCCTCAAGAGAAAGTGCAATGCACCAGATAGATGTTTTTAAAATATTTACTTACAAATTTAGACACTTCAATGTTTAAGTATGAATGAGCTCTGCTCTCTCAGCAACAGCACTTAGACTTATATACCACTTCACAGTGCTTTTTACAGCCCTCTCTAAACAATTTACAGAGTCAGCATATTGCCCCCAACAATCTGGCTCCTCTTTTTACTGACCTCGGAAGGATGGAAGGCTGAGTCAACTTTGAGCTGGTCAGAATCGAACTGCTGGCAGTCAACAGAGTTAGCCTGCATTATTGCATTCTAACTATTGTGCCACCAATGCCATTTATCCACAGCGAACTGGCATTAAAACTATTCTCCTGCAATGAGTATAGACCAATTTTGCTGTAGAGGAAGGAGTGGGGATACAAATAACAATCTGCCCCAAGAGTGAAAAGGAGCTGATGTTTTGCTTCCCAAGTCCCTGTGGCCAGGCAAGTATGCAGTTTTCTAGTTGACATAGTTTGCATCATCATGAAATGTATGTGTGGGAAGGGGACAAGATTATGCCAATTTTTGCCTCTATTT